AACAGAAAAATCTTTGCACCCTAAAGCAGTTTTTTAAATGAAAAACACTTGCCTCTCTGTGTCGCTTCTCGTCATCGTCGTCTTTTTTGTGTGCTTCAGTTTAGACAGGCATTGTCTGACCTTTGTTCGACTTCTGTCTGTTGGTTTGCTGTGGAAAAGTGTTTCAAGTCACTGGAGTTGTTCAAACTTTAAAGAACGGTCGCCTGGCTTGTTGCAGTATTTTTTATACAAAAATAACAAAAATATTCAAAACTAAAACTTTTTAATATTAATTTTATCCTTTTTTACTATTTTTCAGGCGCTTTGGAACCAAATGTGCGGGTTGTTCTCATGGGATTCCACCCACTGACCTTGTTCGACGAGTCAGAAACAAAGTGTTTCACATAAAATGTTTTACCTGTACGGTTTGCCGGAAACAACTGTCCACCGGAGAGCAGCTTTACGTACTTGAAGAAAATCGGTTCATGTGCGAAAAGGACTACATCCACAGAAGTCAAGGTAAGCCTGAATGTGCTTGGAAAAAAGCTAGAATTTTTCGCACTGCAATGCCATTTTTCACTCTGCCTGCAAATTGGTCAAAAGCTTGTGCAGACCGGACGTAATCACTTGAAATTCATTCATTCAGCGGCGTAATTAAATTATTCTTTAACATGGCACTGAACAACTGTAACAACTGTGCGTAATGTTTTGATTTGCATTTTGGTCGCCTTAAAGGCAAACGGTGATGTGCGCCAGTGCTCTGTTTGACAGACGACTACTGCTAGGCCAACAATTGCTAATCGGTTATTTGATTTGCCATTTGCTTTCCATTGGGTGCCAATTCCGCTGGCAATAGCCGCCATCATCGCCATTGCCATCACCACAACCACCTCCTGCGACACCTCGTGTTGTCGTTGGCCTGCGGCAATGTTCCGACTGTTGGCTCATTGGATGCTTCACCGGTCTGCTGCACTTTAGAGTCACAGTGTAGCCACTGGCACAAGCGGCCACAGCAGCACTTTTTCCCTCGTTTGGCAACACTGTCGGCGCACTACGAACTCTGACTTGGCGAAGTAATGCAAGCAAAACGCATTCTGTGCGCCAGTGTTCACTGTTCAGTTCTAAAACTGAAATTGAATTACCGTTTTAGTGGCATACCCTTCTGACAGCATCGCTGGGCCCAAATGCTTCAGTGACTCGGTAGGCTCCGTCTTCTTTTGCAGCCGCTCCTTTTTCATTCCTGGAGATGACTGCACACGGAAAAGGGGGCAGATTCCTCTCTTTACTGTCATTTATCACCGCTGTCTGTACGTGTGCCCGTCAGATTGGACGCACCACTACTGGTCTTGTACAAGGTAAAGCAAGAAGTGTGATCTGCTGAATGCTAACGAGAAGTAGAGCGAAGCAATTAAAATTGTTTGCCTCTTTTTGCACAATGAGTAGCGTTCATTACGAAAAAATTGACTGGACAATGTATCACTACTTTTCTACAATTAATTTGTGCATACAAATTGTGCTCATTGAGCAACTTAAGGAGAAATAACGTAAGTCTCAGCGTGGTTTTCAGGGAAAAGCACCTCTAGGCCATGGAAAACAGTTGGGCCTGAGAGTCTGTGGGTCTCTCCGGGGCGGGACGAGATAGAGCTAGACGGTTTTCTAGGTTGCAACGCAGTCCTCTACAAATGTGCCAACAAGAATGGTGATTAATTGGTTCATGGTCAAGAAGAAGGAACAATGCTTGCGTATGGGCAATGAATTTTGAGCAATATTCAAACACTTGCCTTTCCTACCCTCTCGACGGGTCATCACGAATGGCCAATGTTTTGCAGGGCTCATGAGCTAAGCTCACAGGCAACTGGCAAACTGCCCACTTCGTGCTGCAGTTGTCAGCAGTGGTTGCCGCTTTCTTCACCGTTGTGGCTGCTTCTGCCGAATCCGTCGAGTGTACTTGAAAGTGTCCAAACGCAACGCCTCAGCGTCTTACTCGTTATCTGTTGATCAGACTAAGTTTAATAATTAATATGCCATTACAAAGCGAATTAGCGAATTGAATTGGCACACTCTGTGATAGATTGCAAGATGGCTGTGGTCGGACAGCGCTCCGCTGGTGCACCTTCGATGTCGATCATGAACCTCACCGTGCTCGCATCGGCAATGCAAAAAGGGCAAAAAGAATTGTGCTGTTGCCGTTGCTGTTGATGCTGATGCTGAGGTGCACGACATGTGCTTTGTGCAGCGACCATCGATGCGAACGCGTCATTTAATGATACATGACTGTCTTCTGTTCTCTTCTCTTCTGTTCTATCTGTTTCTGCTGCTGCTGCTGTTGCTGGTTCAATGTGAGCTCGCCTGATGCGTGAAGTGGCGCGATGCTTTCACACACACAGACAGAGTAGACAAGCAGACAGAAGGAGACAGACATGGACCGACATCCACCGACACATGAACAGCACCAGCAACAGCAGCCTTTGTGTCTTTCACCACACAGTTGCGAGGCTTCCCTTTGTCAGACAGCGGGAATACAAGAGCGCAAACACGCTCGTCAGTACATGAAACAGTTGGCCTGAAGTGCGATCACCGACAGGCAGACAGACACTACGGTGGCTCAGCCAGGCTAGTGCGACTACGCGAATCGTGAGTCTTCGTTTGATCACCCAACGTGGTACGGCTGCTAGCGGACTGCTTAGTACAGAGCCAAAACTGAACTGAGCTGCCAAAAGACGGGCTATAGACGCTGAAACTGTGTATCCACCACCAACACCATCATCAGAAACAGCAGCAGCATCAACATCAACATCAACAGCAGCAGCTCTGGAGATGTCGTGCCGCCGGCAAAAAGAATCGACGAAAGCATCAAGCAGATGATGATGAGGCGAGCGATCACCGCCGATCACCGATTGTCTTCCCTTGGTCATCGGTGGCTCACTTTTCTCGCCAGGCGCATTAATTATGGCTGCCATCGAGGTAGCACGCAGACACTATCTATCGATCACTCGTACCTCACTTGGCAGCAGAGTGTGTGCACATCGCAGTCTGCGGTGGTGCCATCACCACCACCATCACCACCACCATCACCGCCACCAGCAGCACTACCCAACAGCCGAAGATTGCGTCCAAAGAAGCATCATCAGGAGGGAGGACATGCCGTTCTCACTGTTGTTGGCCTGCCTGTCTGATGGTGCCGCACTGCGCTACTGTGCCTGTGCGTGTCCGCATCACACTCATCTCCATCTGCCGCTATCGGCGGCAAATCAGTTCCATCCTCACTAATCGAATTAATTAGCTAATGACAGCCAAGATGGAGGCGCCAGATTTGGAGCAGATAGTCAACACTCGTGCCCTATCTCGGTCGATCGTTTTCAGTTTGTGACTGTGGGAGCGAGAAAACAAGGCGCTCTTTTGCCACGTACGACGAGGTGCCAGGAGCGACCAGTGCCAATTCCAGTAGCTCTGGTCAAGTCGCTGCAATACACAAAAGGCAACAGAGAAAGAGCGACCACAAAAGAGCATTGCAGCAGAGGTGAGCCAAACCAAGCCAAGCTGAGCAGCACATTGCACACTGGCAAATGCTGTCATTTGAGCTCAGTTGTAGCTGGCAAGTGACAACAATAAAAGGGAACCGTACTCCGGAGAGCTACATTGGGGCCATAAAACGACATTGGCACATTATGACAGTGGCTGGCGCGGACGGGCCCAACAGAGCAATAATCGAAGCTTGTCTTTGTCATTACCTTGCTTTTTTGTCGTCCAATCTCAGTGATTTAGGTTAAACACAGCACTAATGTCCGAATGTGTGTGTGTATGTGCGTGTCTTCCAACATGCCACAACGGCGTCAAACAGCTTGAATTGCCGCTCAGATCCGGGAATAGCTTACCACTTTATGGTTAGAATTTAGCATTCGTGTGGTGCCTTGTTGCACCCCAGGCGCAGATGAAATTTCTCTCTTTCGCTGCCGTCGGTGAGCTACCCTCCCCACAACATGCCTGTGTGTTCTCCTTTCAGCCATTATTCGAAGTGTCCCTTGGCTCTAATAAGCAGCAAAGTTTAAAGTGAAAATTATGACCATCTCAGTTTGTGTGCGAGATCATCGAGGTGCTGCGCGGCGACAATGAGTACTGGTGCTGGCAAGAGTGGCAAGACATGTCGTACTACTCTTCTTTTTCAGTAGACTGTCCAGACGACTTGAGACGGACTTGCCACCAGCGGCAAAGCGAGGCGCACGCATTCAACTGTACAAATCTTGTAGTTTATTATCGCTGCTCATCACTATCATCGTCGTGAAGGCGCTTCACCCTGCCAGCATCCTTTGAAGCCCAAACGGTGACTTTGCAATAAATTATTTATGGCTTTGCTCACATTTGCCTAGTCTCTGGTGACTGGCCGTGTGTCGTTGAGAAGAGTTCACTTGTTTGCTTGCTTCTTTGTGGTCTTCTTTGGCACTCGGTTTTTTATTTAGACGTTCGACAGGAACGATAAAAAGAGCCTGCAAACCCATCACACGGCGACATTCCACCTTTGTTTTTGTTTTGCTCAGTGTCGTCTCGATGGAATTGCTGGTGATGGTGTTGGTGGTGGATGACTGCCTCACTGCCCAAAACAGCTGCAACACAATCGACAATCTACGCTGATGGTTTCAGTGCTCACTCGTCGTTTACTAATCGTCTCGTTTGCCAAGAAAAACAAACGATAACTGAAGGATACTAGAGCCTTGTAGCCATAAAATTGACTTTCGATGCCATAAATATTACTGCCAACATTTCACCGCTCAAACTGTACGAAACTTTGGATAATGAGTCAATATAATCAGCAAAGTACTGACTGCACTTACTGGCAGAAGAAGCTCGCTTCTGTCCTACCTGCAATTAGTCGCCTGATCGGACCATGCTAGGACGTTTTCGCACCATTCACGCAGCGCAATTAGCAGCGACGACAGTAGCAAGCAGTGCAATGCCGATTTGTCACACTGCACACACACACACACTCACTAATCAATTGCCTTCTTTATGTAATTACAGGACTAATGAGTGAAGCGACGAGTGAGCGAGACGACGAAGCTGATCTCGAGGAGAACCTGGTCAGCCCTGGTGAAGGCGATCTAGGGGCAAATGACGAACTGGACTCGGACAACGAGGACGAATCGTTGCTCGGTCTGGAGCCTTTGCCCTCGCTCAACAGCCTAAGTCACGGTTCATCGCACCACGCCCTGTCAAGCAAAAGCTCACCGATGTCTGCCAGCAGCTCAATGAGTGATTCCGGTATTGGCTGTGGTGGCAATGGGGGCTCCGCCAGTCTCGGCATCGGCGATCCTTCCTCGCCGACTCACGCGTCAGGCTCAGCGGGCAGCCTGGCAAATGATGAGAACCAGCCAGGTGGCACCAAAAGACGTGGGCCCCGAACCACCATCAAGGCAAAACAACTGGAAACGCTTAAATCCGCCTTTGCAAATACTCCCAAGCCGACGAGGCACATTCGCGAGCAGCTCGCCAGCGAAACTGGTCTCAACATGAGAGTCATCCAGGTAAGTGACACTTTTTTGCCTTTTTTTCCTGGAGACATTGATGCAAACAAACAGAGTACAGAGTGTATGTTCCTGAATTTCTGTTTTTAAAAAAGAGTGCTAATATAAAGATAGCACTAGTTTGATAGTGTACAGTAGTTTGCACTTATTGATAATCGATTAACGGCAGCATGCCTTGGAGAGGGCAAGTTATTAAGTTATATATATTTTACAAAGCAACCAACCGCCGACTCTAATCTCCCGCTCTTTCACTTTCAACTTGCTCACTCCATTACGAGTGGCAAAGCATTGAAATTTGTTAAGCATCTCATAAATTTTACTGCTGCCGCCTTTTGTTACTTGATCTACTTTGGCACACTCACACACACTCTCTACACTGCTACTTTGTATTTGCAGCGCGACGAGCGACTTTCCTTTGGTAAACAATATCGCTCACAGTGTGCGATCTTATCGGCCCAGTGCTGTCTTGGCACAGCTGTTAATGGGCAGGGAGTCAAATCTGGGCGACGATGCTCAGATTTGCTAGCGTGACACGGTCGTCGTTGTAGTAGTACTCTTCCTATCTTTCTCTTTCTTTTTGTAGTCAACCGTAGTGTCGCCCTTAATTGGACGACATTTGTCGATATCACCATAATTTGCGAGTCCTCTCTCGGACAAAGACACTCGCCTACTTGTTTTCCTCTGCTTGCCAGCTACTCCTCCGCATCCCTTTTTTATCTCCCTGACGCCGTCTCCTCTGGCCTTGTCTCTTCGCCATCGATACGACCGGTTGTCGTCATTAGGCTCACTGCTCACT